GGACAGCTGGAGCTACAAGGAGACCCTGTCTCAAAAAAGACAAGCCTACAAATGAACCTACTATTTGACCGAGTTATATCACTCCTTGGCATATACCTAAAGAACTCGTCCTATTGCAGAGACACTTGTACATCCATGTTTGTTGCTGCTCTTTTCATAATAGCTAAGAGATGGAAGCAAGCTAAGTGTCCCTCAACTGATGAGTGGATAATGAAAATGTGGTTCATTTATACAATGGAGTTTTACTCAGCAGTAAAGAAAGATGAAATCATGAAATTTGCAGGTAAATGGATGGAACTAGAAACTTTTATACTAAGTGAAGTAACACGGACTCAGGAAGAAAAAAAAATGATATATGTTCTCCTTCATATGTGGATCCTAGCGTCAAGTCCTGATAAGTGAGTATGTATCCATACATAACTACAGGAACCAGGATCATGAAAAGGAACCAGGGAGGTAAAAAAAAGAAAGAATCTGAGAGAGAACAGTAGGAAACAGGTAATAAGGGAGATATGGATAAAATAAGGGAGATATGGATAAAAATGGGGTTATTTTAAGGGGGGGAGAGAGGGTTAAATGAGGAAACGGGGATAAAGAGAAAGAATGAGATCAAGAGAGGTGGAACCATAGAAGTGTATTATTAAGGGAGAAATGGGAAATATGGGGGCACTTTCAACGGGGAAACCACGGTAGAAGGGTTAGACAATGCAAGAGATAAACAATGCCTAGCTAGTTTTTAAAAACCAGAGGGAACCATACTAATCAAACAACCTACTGAGCTACTATATAGCTCAAGGAATACAATACATGTCTAGGCAAGGTTTATCTGAGAATGTTTGGTCTTTGCCCAAGCTTTATCTTCATAGCACATGGTAATTAAAAGCACCAGGCTGGTGGAACTAACCTTCTTGGATATCTAACAGCCATACTTTGAGGTCTATACTAATTTGGTCAGAGGGACATGAAGGGCAGTTTTTGCTCTTTGCCCTCCTTGGTCAACTAAGCTCCAGGGGACTATGAGCATCTCTCAAAATGTCCTGTAACTGTGGTGCATCACCTGTCCTCTTGATCAAGGAGGACATGGAAACCCCACCAGATGGACTTGAACCAGTGTCCAGTCTACAGAGAGGTTCAACACAGAGGAAACATTTCCTCCATGCTTCCAAGTGAAGCTAGCCATGGTCAAGTAGGACCTTTGACTTATCTTCACATAGCTGGAACTGGTAAAAGAAAGGAGCCAGGGGCTCCTCCCAAGCCCATGCAACCCCTGAGGAACAGCTCCTCAAACAACTTTAAGAGTAAAAATAAATTGGTTTATCTGGGCCAACTGTATGGTGTTAAACACCCAAAAGGAAAGCTAACTAAAGAAACATTGTAGGAGCCAGGGAGGAGGTGCATGACCATTTAGAAACAGTTCTATAAGCTCTTGGGAACCTGCTCATATGATTCTATGGCAATGGTGTCAGCATACACAAGTCCCATGCAAACTCAGGCAGACAAAAACCCAGTACAGAACTGGGGAAATGAACAGCGTACCCCAATCTTAGCTGAAGTAATATTGGCAACTGATTGCTGCTAGGTGAGGAAGAGCTGATCTTCCTAAAACAAAGAACTCTGGATAGGCTTACTAGACTCAGTGGATGAACAAGCACTGGAGAACGGCTGGGGGCACTGACAACACAGTGGACAGTAACAGGGATGACAGAGTATATGGGCTGGTGGTGGGGGTGGCTATGGGAGGGTGCCATTTGGGGTGTGGGTATATAGATGAGTAAGTTTGTTTTGGATGTTCTGTATGAAATACACACATACAAAAAAAATCAACAAATAAAAAAATGAGTTATATTTGAAAAAGAAGCACAAAAATTTGCTCCATGTTATTTAGTAGAGGTGAAACACATTACCACTGAAATCTACCTGATGATTTTATATCCATGCTAGGGGAATCTCAGAGAGTAACTGACTATGACTAGTAATAAGATACATAGAGATTAGAGATGCATGTGAAAACATCTAAGTAGCATTCAAAATGAGTTTTCCTGTATGAAACAGTATATTTTCAAATGAAATGGAGTTCTTTTTTAAAGGGTAAAACCTCATTCAATTTTATGTCTTATAGGGTTTATACTGAGTTCAATATTGTATAACTGTATCAATTCAACTGTGAACCTAAAATTTTACAGCCAATATTGAAAGAGATGCATCTTTGCTCTGGAAATTGTTATTGAATATGTTAATGCTATAATGAAATGCTTCTAATCATGTGGTTATTAAATAATTTTTTTAAAAAAGAACATGACTCAGTGGGAAAAGTGCTTGCTCTGCAACCCTGAAGACACCTGAGTTAGTCCATAGCACTGACATAAAAAGCCAGGCATAGCTCCATGTGGCTATAAACACAACACAGGTGAAACAAACAATCAGGTATCAAGAGAACTTGCTGTCCAGCCAGCATAGGAGATTAAGGAAGCTTTTACTTCAGTGAGAGACCCTATCTCCAGGGAACAAGGCAGAGAAGCGCAACTGCAGATGGCACCCCATGTCCTGCTCTGGTTTGAAGGCGCCCAGTGTCCTACTCTGGTTTCTGCATATACTGGCATAAGACTGCACACTTACATGCACACACCACACACACCACACGTGTTTGGGCACACACATACACATGTACATACAGGCACGCGTGCACGCACATGCACACACACACACACACACACACAAAGGCTTTTGCAATGAAAAGTTTTAAACACTTAAGAAGACACTAGAACATGTTCAGAGATTGAAAAAAAATTAATATTGTTCACACTACACAAAATCCTCTACAGATTCATTCCAGTCCCCAGCAAAATACCAATGACATGCATCACAGAACTAGAAAATCAATCCTAAAATTCATAAGGAAACTGCTGTGCAGCAATTTCTTCCAAGTTAGAAACCATTCAGCCCTGGAAGAAAAATGGCTTTACACTCAGGATGTTATAGAATGAGGTAAAACATCATCCTAGAGAGAAGTTTAAGACTCAGCAAGTCCAGGACCTAAACAACTCAGAAGCATCAGGAAGTCCCTGAAATTAACCAGGTGTTCTAGGTTCCTGCCCTGAGGTTATGGAAGCAGGAAGGCCTGTGAGAGAGTCTGACATCAGCAAGGCTGCCTGGAAAATAGAGATCATCCCAGCTGCTAGGAAAGATTCTCTGACTATTAAGCTGTCTGCAAGTTGTGCAGTGCACTGGAGGTCTCCAGCTTCTGTGCATCCTCGCCTGTGTTGGGTGGGCTTAGGTGTTGCAGGTGCTTTGGAGCCATCCCTGCCTCTGTAAGTAACTCCTCACTCACACTCCTTTCACTATTGCAATAAAACTCATTGCCTCACCAAGATGGACTTTGGTAGCATCCTTACTCTGGTCTGTCATTGGTTACCTATCTGAAGTGAGTAGACATTGGTTCATGTCTCCTCAAGAATAGTGTCACCCTAAGAAACTTACAAAAGCCCCTCAGCCAAAGCAAGGTTGAGTGGAAAGAACAGAACTGGAGGCATCACACCCAAACTCAAGACATGCCTCCTGTTTGCATTTACATAAAATCAGATACACAGATGTGACATAATAGGAACCCCAGAAAAGACTCCAGGCATCTACAGCTAAACAATTCTTGACAAAGGACCAAAATCTGGAGAAAGGACAGTCTCTTTAGCAAATGGCACTGGAAAAAAATTGAGTATCAAGGTTCAGAACACTGCAACTTCAGTCTTACTCCTCACCAAATACAAAATCAAGTAAAAGGGTCATAGACCTTAATATAAGACCTGAAGCTCTGAAAGGATAGAGCAAACATGGGGGAAACACTGCAGGACACTGACTTAGGAGTGATTTTCCAGGTAGGACTCCAGAGGCAGAGATGCAAAACAAAAACTGGCAAGTGGGGATTCCATCCCACTGAAAGGTTCTACACAGCAGGGGAAACAAGGAACCGAGTGGAGAGATGAGCTGATAAAATGGAGAACGTGTGTGTGCTGGCTCTTTACCTGACTGAGGGCTAATTCTAGATTACATGAAGAACTCACAACAACCAGGCAGGGGCGGTGGCACATGCCTGTAATCCAGTGTTAGGGATGTGGAGGCAGGAGGATCAGGAATTCAAGGTCATTCTCAGCTATATCACAAGTTTGGTATCAGTCAGCGTGACATGCGAACCTGTATCAAAAACCAAAAATGAAAACAAACAAAATACAAGTCATCCAATTAAAAAATGGGCAAATGGTCTCAATGGATGCTTTTAAAAAGAAGAAATACTAATGGCCAATTAATACATGAAGGCATGCTGAAATCATTAGCTATCACGGAAAGGCAAAACCATGGAACAATGAAATGCTACCTCGCTTTGGTTGGAATGGCAATAAAAAAAATGAGAAACAAAACAAATATTCTTGAGGATAAGGTGACAGAACTCTTACACACCTTATTGGATATGTAAAAAGTGAAGTCACTATGGAAATCACTGTGGCGATGACAAAAAAAAAACCAAAAAAATAAAATAAAATAAAACAGGACTATTGACTGTTGTGTATCCAGCTATACCCTCCAGAGTATATTGTTAAGGAAATTACATCAACATAAAAAGAGACTACTGAAGGCTCTATTCACAACAGCTAAGGCATAGGATAAACAGGTGAATGGATAAGGTAAACATGATACATACACAATGGGGGAATGTGAGTCAGCTATAAAGAATGAAACCTGGCCATTTGCAGGAAATGGATAAAACTGGAGATCTTTTTGAAAGTATCACACTGAATTCCATGATTTTGTAAATCACTGTGTTAACGATATATTAAAGAACCTTCTCTGCATGTCTAGAGTCTAAATTGAAAAGTCACAAAGGAAAATTTCACCTGCTTTGAAACTTGCTTCTATTAGAATCCAAGCGTCCTTTCCCTCTCACACAGTTTTGTGCCTCACAAGATGGACACAGGACTATGGAACCTTTGCTACTTGTCGGCCAGACTCACCTCTTGCACATCCCAAGTAGAAAGCATGTCCTTGTCAGACACAGTGCAGAGGATCGACTTCCCTTGTCCATCCATGGCGAGGCCACTTCCTGAGAGATACGCCATATGTCTAAAGTCTCCTGCAAGGAAACCCGAACAATACTTGGCCACTAGATATTTGAGAGATGATTGAAACCAAATAAAGATGTTTTAGCTCCCATGTCCCCTCATAGAGGGGTTTGGGTAACAACTAGACAGGATGGAGGAAGTCAGCCACGCAAGCTGCAGGCTGGCCATGTGGAGAGGTATTGCTTTTCTCTTTGAATCTGATTCTATATCTATGAAATGGATATAAAAGTTTGGGGATGAAGCTCAGTTGGCAAAGAACTTGCCTAGCATGAGGTGCTAGGTTTGATTCCTAGAACCCCATAAAATTCTGCATAGGGAATTCAAAGACCGTCTGAATATAGACACTCTGTATTTAAAAAATGAAAATAGGATATAAGAATCTCTCCATTTGGAGAACTGATTCCACAGAATTGTTCTCTGACTTCATGCACATGCTTAACACACTTGTGTCTGCATTCACACACATCAGACACACACACACACACACACACACACACACACTAAAAACATACACGATTTTTAAAAATCTAGAACACAAACTATTCCAAGTATTAAAAGAGGTTTGGGGATAAAATAAAGTCCATGCCATTTAGAAATTTGCCCAACAAATTTTATCCATGTTTTTATTCTAGAAATGGGTGAAAAATCTCTGGGAAAGGGATGGACAGGCCTGATTTTATGCTGTGACTTGAACTCTCTGGCTCCTCCATCCAGTAGACCACAGAGGAGAATCAAGACTGGTTCCATGGCTGCAACAGCAACCAGACACTTGAAATTTTAATTGCCCCTCCCTTCAAAAATGAAAACACAGGACTGCCTACAAAGAGGAAACAGTATAAGTATCTCCTCCAGGGGCCCCAGCACTTGTCTTGTTCGGCGGCGGAAGAACTGTTTCCAGGTCTGCGCACCCAGCTGTTGCCACAGCTGTGTGCACAGGTGTTCCCGGGTGACGTCACCGAAGCACCATTTCCTCAGACACAGCCTCCTGCAAGGGAGTCACAGTCCCATCAGGCTGACCTGTCAGTTCACCTCCTCCTCAGTTCGCTCTCAGCCACTGTTTGCAAGAACCTTTCCTCAGGCGGACCTTCCCGGGTGCATCCCCCACACCACAGGTGCAGGTGCACAATGAGATGGCCCGCCCTGCCCTTCCCTCCTCACCCTGCCCCTTTCCTTACCTCCACAGGCTCTCCCTGTCTGCGACCACATTCCAGCTCTATGGGAGAGAAAGGAGTCAAGCCAGCAAGCAATACTCAAAACGGGCTTCTCCCTGCTCTCACTTGTTCTGGGCTGGGCCCAACAGGTTCATCAAATACAACCCCAGCTCTCAAGACCCAGCTAGCCTGAGAGACCTATTCCTGCTTATGCAGGGAAGCTGCCATCCTGTGAGAGCTCAGAGGAAGGAGGGCTGGTTTCCAAAGGCTTGAAATGGGAACCTCGAGGAGAATTTAGGCAACACAATTTACATCTATCATCTTGTCATTTTCACTTAATTTTGCTGTTGTTATTTTTACTGTTTTGAGATAGGATCTTGTGTAGCACAGGCTGGGCTCAATCTGTCCAGGTAATTGAGTATGACCTTGCAGTACTGATCCTCTTGCTTCCACCTTCCACATACTTTGATTACGGCTGTGCAGCACCACACTCGTTCCATAGAATTTGATGCTGTCAGTGTGATTGCTGCTAATCCATAAACACTGTATGAATCACTTTGCTACTCTGCATATTGGTGTTCTCCTTGGTCAAGAAAAGGCACTGGAGCCCAGAGATGCTAGTGTGTGTGTGCTGGGTTTGTATAGGCCTGAATAAGGTAAATGTAGGCAGGGATGAAGGAAGGCTGTGTGGTGTGAGGCTGGAGGAGCCGAGACTCCACGGCTGAGGATGAAAGACCAAAAGGGCCTCACGTAGGAACATACAAGTGGAGGAGTGCCGGCAAGGAGCTGGTCAATTAGACAGCAGAGGACCGTGAGAAGGGGACCGTGAGAGTCTTTACCTTGTTCACTTGGGCAGCCTGGAGCAAGCTGAAGCCGTCCAGATAGCTGAAGATTTCTGCCAGGGGCACTGCAGGCAAATGGATCTCCATCTCACCTGGCTGAGCCACATTCAGTCTCCTTTCTCTCCTCCAGCTTGCTCTGAACTTAAAGGCTTGGCCAATGAGGGCAGCGTTTGGGGGGATTTCCTCCCTCAGCCCATCAGGCTCTGACTGAAACAAGCCTCAGGTGGGCAGACTCTCAGCCTGAACTCCACTAACCTCTTCCCAGGGCCAGAGGCACGGAGCGGAGATTGCCCCCACCTAAACTCCGCAGTGCTGTTCATCAGGGAGGTGAGCCCAACAACACCGTCCTAACACTGGGAACCAGAAGTACATGACTTGGAGCAGCCCAAGTAACTGATATACTTTTTAGAACTTTCTAGGAAATATCAAGTGACACACTCGCCTTCCCCAGATGCTATTGCTCATGTGAAGCCCATTAAGTTGCTCCAAATTCCAGGTTTAGGGAATCTGCTTGCCATGTTGATATGTTCACTTTTAAAACTGAATTGGCTCAGGAGGCCTGTCTCTCAGTGGCAACACAGCCTCTGCGTTTCTGCATTTGTGCATTTACCTTTCTAGTAGAAAGGAAAAGAATGACCTGACAGATCTTGAGACATGGGTCTGTTTGTAAAGTGCCTGCCATGAAAGATAAGGATCTGAGTTTGAATTATCCACACCATGAAAAAAGTTGGGCACAGTGACATGTGCCTATAAGTCTAGCACTGGAGAGGTGTAGACAGTGGATTCCTAGAACTTGCCAGTAAGCCAGTTTAGTTAATCAGTTAGCTCCAGGCTCAGTGAGGAACTTCATTTAAATAAGTTAGAAAGGGATAGAAGGTGTCTGACATCTATAACTGCCCTCTGCATATACACCCGCACATTTATTCTCTCTCACACACATGCATGTCTACCAGCACTCCCACATACACTACACACACAGACACAGAAAGACATGACAAACATACATGTTTGGTTCCCTTCCACACTCGAATGTTGAAACTCCATGTTATTGTTTGTTTTTGAGTAAAGGTCTGATGTAGCCCAGGCTGGCCTTAATTCTGATATGTAGCTAAGGCTGGCATTGAAATCTTAATCCTCCTGTTTCCACCTCCTGAGAGAGTACTAGGATTATAGGTCTGTGCCACCCACCAATGCTTGGGGTTTTGCTATTGTTGTTCTGTTGTCTTGTTTTATCTTTTTTGTTGAGTTTTTTTGCATTTCATACAACAGTTCTGTTATAGATCAGAGTTCACACAAAATCACCAACACCACTTTAAGAAAAGTAGCAAGGTAAATGTTTATTTCAACTGTCTGGAAGTAGATGAAGCAGCAATCATTTTCGGGTCAGAGTTTTTATAGGATTACAGAAACTTTATTCAAACAGGACGCTTGTGCATCAATCAGGTTTGTACAACATAGCAGAACTTTGAATCTATTAATCAACAATTAATCATTATACAGACAAGTGATACAGTCATATAACTTGGCAATCAATCTTGTAATTTTAAAATTAGCCAACTCCCTAGCCATGACAAGTATAGTAAGAAAGCTAAAATCGGCAGTTACCGGGTGGTCATACAATAAAAGTGTGGTCATATACTTTGTGTCAGGGTGATCTAAAATAGTAAGCGAGTTACAGAAGCAAAAACAAGTAGTTATCCAGATGTAGAATGTCTGAGATTAGCACATTCCACTGTTTGTGGTTGAGCTATTTCTTAGAACTCAAGGCTGTTTTCTCCTTTTTAATATTTCCCATAAGTGGAAAAGAGGTTACTGTTAAAATAGCTATTCTGAGCAAGATGGAATAACTTAGGTTAAGTTTCTAATAGAGTTCAAGTTCTTAGTCAAATTTAGACCTCCTTCCCAACCCATGCCTCCCCCCACCTGACGAACCTCATGCATTCTGCCATACATGTTAAGTCCTATCCAGTCAAGCATTTGTACCCAGATGTCCTTCGGTGCAAATTCAACCACTGGAGTCTAGTCAGCCTATGTAGAGATCATAAGTAAGGTCTGCTCTCTCTTACCCAGGTAATCAGTCTCCAGCAGTTCCCAGACTAGGGCCAGCCCACTGCTCATTTCCCTTGCTCCACTCTGGGCCCTTGTATACCGTACACCACTCATCAAAGAAGCCTCTTTTTGAAACAGATGGAGGCTACTGCAGAGTTCCACAACTGGTCACACACAGAGAATATACACCTGAGAGATGCCGAGTCCCAGGTAACATATCTACAATGGAACCTCTACACCTAAGGCTTATAGAACATAGCAGAACAGGGGTAGAAAGAAAACTAGTGCATCCCTCAATTCTCACAAGTGAAGCATTCTTATACAACAAAGTGCAAGGCACACAGAAAGCCACAACTGCCCAAGTTTAAGAGAGTAAGAGACTGCAGAGTGTGTGTCCCTGGATAAGACTCCTATATGTTTTTTGTTTTTGTTTTTGTTTTCAGAATTTTATATGGTACCTCAGGCTGCCCTGCACTCATTATGTAGCCTAGGCTGGCTTCAAACTTTCAGTAATCCTCCTGCCTCAGCTCCTGAGTCCTGGCATTATGGGCATGAGCAACCACAACCAGGTATAAACCTGTGATTTTAAAAGAGTAGAGGTGGCAAAAGAGCTTAGCAGGTAAAGGTGTAAAGGTGTCTGCTGCCAAAACTGATAAGGTGAGTTGATTTCTGGGACCCACAAAGGGGAAAAGAAAACTGACTCCCACAAGTTGTCCTTGGACCTTCATACAGGTAGAAGGGTGTGCATGCTGTTATCCCTCCAACAAAACAGATATGTGGATGTAATGAAAAAGATGATTGTGAAGAACTCAGTATGTGATGAGAGAGGCAGATAGGGAGACAGGGAGGTGATAGATGATAGATAGATAGATTTAGAGAGATAGATAAATGATGGATAGATGATAGGGAGATGATAGGTAGATAGATGATAGATGATGATAGATGATTGATAGATAGATGATTGATAGATGATTGATAGATAGATGATAGATGATACATAGGTAGGTAGAGAGGTAGATATACGTAGGTAGATGATAGATAGATAGATAGATAGATTGATTGATTGATGATAGATGATAGACAGACAGATAGATGATAGAATGAATTCTAATCCTTCATATGACTTTGGAAAGTCAAGGTCATTAGATCATAAAGAACTCTCTCTGGAACAGAATCAGTGTCTTTATACATGAGACTACGAGAGTTCTCTTTTTCTACCATGTGAGGACATGAGATGTCAGCAGTCTGCATCCAGAAGAGGACCGTCCCCAGCACCAATGCCAGCACCACCTTCTCAGGCTTCTGCCCTCCCAAACCAGAAGAAAGAAATTCCTGCTGTCTGTGAGCACCCAGTTTCCTAGACTGCTCCAGCAACCTGAACTAAGTCCAAGTTCCTCTGTGAGGCTCTGTGGTGATGTCACAGCCTCCAGCTGACCCACAGCTGCAGTTCTCAGGAGCACCATCCTTTCTACACTGTGATTTGAACCACTAGCCAGAGCCAAGTCTGTTTGCACATGACTAAATGTCTTCTTCCTCGGAACTTGGAATTTTCATACAAACGGGGTTGTTAAATTTCATCCTGATAACTATTTAATAATTTAGATCTCAGACAAATTCACACATGTACACAATGCATGCTGACCACTCTCACCCCTGCCCTCTCCCATCTCCCTACCAAGGATATGTACTCCCCCTCCTCTCCCACAGATATCTTACCTTCACGTCTATTCATTTTGTTTTGTGGCCCACTGAGTTTAACCAAGGTTTCCTGTGTGACTGTGAGTTTAGACTACCTGTTGAACTCTGGTGAGCTCAGCAGTGGGTACACAACTAAAGACAGTGGCTCTCCCAGAATCTATCACTAGCCAATAGTTGAGCAGTAAATGGTAGGGCCCTGTGAGCCACTCAGTCTTTCTCAAATGTTGTTGCTGCTGTGAGTTAATGACTGCAATGGCTGTACACAGAGGATGGCATGTCACAGCCCTTCACCCCATCTTCCAGCTCTTACACACTTCCCATCCCTCTTCTCCATGTTCCCTGAGCCTTAGAGGGGAGGTGTAAATGTCCTGTTTAGGGCTGAGCCCACAACTGTTACTTATTCTCAGCGTCTTGGGCAGCCTTGAGTCTCTGCACTCACCTGTTCACGCTAAGGAGAGGATTCTCTGATTAAAGCTGAGAGTAGCTGTTGTCTGTGGTTAGAAGCATAGCTATTTAGATGGCAGATTGATGCTATATCAATTCAGTTAACGTACAGCAATAAGTTCCCCACCTGGGCCTATGACTGCCCCAGACCTGGGTTGTTATTGGGGTACAGTACCAGGCATGGTTCCCCCTCTCACCTCTCCATCCTGCCATGGTGTGGGCCTAAATCCTAATCAGAAGGCAGTTGGTTACCCCACAACAGTCAAGGCACTGTTTCACAGGTGGGCACATCTTGCCTGGCAGGTTGGCATTCTGGTTCATAGGCTCACAGCTGGGCAAGACCAATGATGCCTTTCCTCACTCCCAACCCCTATCCCAGCAGCTGCTCAGCACCCAGGGAGCTAGCCAGCAGGGAGGAAGTTTCCAGCTCAGTTCCAGTCTGCTTTCTCTGTATCTTACAATCAAGGTATGTGCTATCTTCTACACCACAATCTTATCCTCTAGTTCTAGAGTGCAACCAAGAGGACTGACAAGAGCCTGTGTGGTTTGGGGGGTCTCTTGGACCTCCCTGACAAACTCCTACAGTATCTCACTCCTGGGACTGGGGACTGTGGTCAGTAACCCACTGCTTCCAGAGCAGTGCCATCTGTCCACACAGGGAGACTCCCTTCCGTCCCTCTCATACTTTTATTTGGTTGTAAGATAAGCTCTATCTGGCTTCTTTATACTCCTTTTGTGTTGTTTATCCAGCCCCTTCCCAATCCCTCACCTTCCCAATTTCCCCATCACACTTCCCTACCTGCTTAATCCTTTCCACCACAGTAGTCTCCCTCTTTACTGTCCTTTTACCTCTGTTCTATCACTCCCTACCTTGTGAAAACAACCCTTTCTCCCTT